ATTCGAAAATCCAGACGTTTTCAAAGGCATCTCATCACATTCTCTTTTCACTCAAAACTGTGTAATCATAATTGAAAATAAAATTGCTGTCATATACGGTACATTATAAACACTCGACAAATGTAATCATACAACATTACGTTTATTTTTGGGAATTTGATTTTCACACCAGCTACAGCGAAATCATTGCATTACAGCAGCGCTCCTAAAAATCACTGTGATTCTTGTTTAGATTTTATGTCTAAATAGCTAATTAAGTTGAAGTAGGTGGAGAAGTCAGCTGTGTGCTTTGTAAATGCACTCAGTCAGGTGGTCCCCACTCCGGATCTCGATGGACCTTAGTGTGTTGCTCTCTGATCTCGTGACTTTGCCATAGTCACAGTCCATGATATTGTGCTACCTCAGATTGCAGTAGTCTGAGAAATGACCAAAATCAGTCAACTATCAAGGTACCAAAAGAGTAAGAGAAAATCACAGCCCTAATTTAGGTGGCTTAACATAGAAAGCATTTTTTTTTAAAATGGAAGAAAATAGACAACTAGAAACTTGCAATGGCTGAAGCCATTGCGATTGACTGCGGAACAGATCTAATGTGGAAATCTGCTAAAAAAAATCCTTGAAATCCTTTAAAAGGCCTTGAAACTGTTAAAATACTTGATAGATATTTGAAACTCCTGAAGTCCTTGAAATTGTTGAAACCTTTAAACTCCTGAAATCCTTGAAACTGTTGAAACATTGAAACTCCTGAAATCCTTGAAACTTTTTTTAAACCTGGAAACTGTTGAAAGTGTGGAAACTCCTGAAATCCTTGAACCTCCTGATATCCTTGAAACTGGTTAAATTCTTAAACAGTTGAAATCCTTGAAACTACTGAATGTATTGAAAGTGTCCTTGAAACTGAAAAATCCCCTCACCGCTGAAACAATTTGGTTCCTGTAACTAAGGAAACCTGGTCTGTGGTCATTATCTGGTGGTGGTCTGAGTCTTCGTTTGGGTCTTGGTCTGGTGGTATAATGCAACCTATTAGGTTGCATTATACTGGTTTACATGGAAAAATCCCTATTAGGTTGCATTATACTGGTTTACATGGAAAAATCCCTATTAGGTTGCATTATACTGGTTTACATGGAAAAATCCCTATTAAGTTGCATTATACTGGTTTACATGGAAAAATCTCTATTAAGTTGCATTATACTGGTTTACATGGAAAAATCCCTATTAGGTTGCATTATACTGGTTTACATGTACAAATCCCTATTAAGTTGCTTTATACTGGTTTACATGTAAAAACCCCTATTAGGTTACATTATAGTGGTTTACATGTAAAAATCCTTATTAAGTTGCATTATACTGGTTTACATGTAAAAACCCCTATTAAGTTCCATTATACTGGTTTACATGTAAAAACCCCTATTAAGTTCCATTATACTGGTTTACATGTAAAAACCCTATTAAGTTGCATTATACTGGTTTACATGGAAAAATCCCTATTAAGTTGCATAATACTGGTTTACATGGAAAAATCCCCATTAAGTTGCATTATACTGGTTTACATGAAAAAAACCCTATTAAGTTGCATTATACTGGTTTACAAGGAAAAATCCCTATTAAGTTGCATTATACTGGTTTACATGGAAAAATCCCTATTAAGTTGCATAATACTGGTTTACATGGAAAAATCCCCATTAAGTTGCATTATACTGGTTTACATGTAAAAAACCCTATTAAGTTGCATTATACTGGTTTACATGGAAAAATCCCTATTAAGTTGCATTGTACTGGTTTACATGGAAAAAACCCTATTAAGTTGCATTATACTGGTTTACATGGAAAAAACCCTATTAAGTTGCATTATACTGGTTTACATGGAAAAAACCCTATTAAGTTGCATTATACTGGTTTACATGTAAAAACCCCTATTAAGTTGCATTATACTGGTTTACATGGAAAAATCCCCATTAAGTTGCATTATACTGGTTTACATGAAAAAAAACCCTATTAAGTTGCATTATACTGGTTTACATGAAAAAACCCTATTAAGTTGCATTATACTGGTTTACATGGAAAAATCCCTATTAAGTTGCATAATACTGGTTTACATGGAAAAATCCCCATTAAGTTGCATTATACTGGTTTACATGTAAAAAACCCTATTAAGTTGCATTATACTGGTTTACATGGAAAAATCCCTATTAAGTTGCATTGTACTGGTTTACATGGAAAAAACCCTATTAAGTTGCATTATACTGGTTTACATGGAAAAAACCCTATTAAGTTGCATTATACTGGTTTACATGTAAAAACCCCTATTAAGTTGCATTATACTGGTTTACATGGAAAAATCCCCATTAAGTTGCATTATACTGGTTTACATGAAAAAAAACCCTATTAAGTTGCATTATACTGGTTTACATGAAAAAACCCTATTAAGTTGCATTATACTGGTTTACATGGAAAAATCCCTATTAAGTTGCATTATACTGGTTTACATGGAAAAATCCCTATTAGGTTGCATGATTACACTGAAGTCCTTGAAACTGCTGAAGTCCTTGAAACTGCTGAAGTCCTTGAAACTGCTGAAGTCCTTGAAACTGTTGAAGTCCTTGAAACTCTTGAAATCTTGAAACTGCTGAAATCCTTGAAACTGTTGAATCCTTGAAACTGTTGAATCATTGAAACTGTAGAAATGTCTGAAAGAGCTGAAGTCCTATTAAAATGCATGGGCCTATTAAAATGCATTGCAGAATTCTCAATGCAGATTTTTGTCCGATTGCGGAAAAACCGGAAATCGCTGAAGTCCCAAAAGTAATAGCAATAATCTCCCAAACATGTGGAACGTTTTGATGTATAACTTGTGGAAATTGTTGAAAATGTGAAAGCTGTGAAACGTGTCAAAAAAAATGACGGAATAAAGAAATACAAAACCAATGGTTGACTGCGGAAGGTTCCGCAGTCAATCAATGAGAGATAATTAGCGAATGGTTGGAGCCTGGAACCGAACCGACAAAGGTGGAAAACTCGGAGCCTAGAACTGAACCTACAATGGTGGAAAACTAGGAGCCTAGAACTGAACCGACAATGGTGGAAAACTAGGAGCCTAGAACTGAACCGACAATGGTGGAAAACTCCTTAAAACATGGTACCAACAGCATCAACAATCTTCGTAATTGTCTCAAAAGTGGTAAATACTGCGTTAAGTAGTTCTAAAATCCGACACGTGCGTCCACACAACTGAAGAGGTGGTGGGTTGATGTTCCCTACAGTTTCTTCAATCACAGCAGTGGGAATCCAACACTGTCATTTTTCAACCATCTGCTCTCAGCAGGGTGCAATGTACGGCAAGTCTGAAGGGAAATTAGAGGGAAAGGAGACATTTACATTCTATCTTAACAATGTTTTCAAAGTAATGTGCACTGAAGTGCCTATCTGACAAAACCACAAAATACTTTTTACCTCAGGCACTTTTGAAACGGCCTCTAAATAGTGATTTTGCAAATACAAAAACGCCCTTCTGCTTTGTCTCGTAGTTCTTCTGTTTCAAGTGTAATAGAAAACATTAAAAAATGGTTTAAACTTAAAGAATGGAAAACTTGCTGCTATTTGTTATATTGTGATGATCTGGGTGTTGATTATGATTATCTGTTTAATGGCCTTCATTTAAAATTATGTTAAACATCATAATAGTTAGGAACAAGAACTAAGACAATGTCTAAGGATATATTTTTTGCTAATTACTGTACGTTAGCGATGAGAGCAAAACCAAATAAAAATTCACGAGCGCTAGTTTTGAGTGAAGCTAATGAGGGAGGTATTGAGGTTTAGGTTGAGGTGGTGTTATACAAGTATAAATTGCTTAAACATGCTGCACTAAAAACAGTTTTGAGTGTGTAAATGGCAAGGGGGAGAACAGATTACTACTGTACAATAATAAACCTCTAACTACATGGCCCAGGAAAGACTCAGGCAAGATGTTAAGATTGATAGGCACAGAGACGACAGTGTTTGATCGTCTGTGTGTGTGTGTGTGTGCTTACAGTATTCCTACATCCTGTGATATGCGCAACAATGACAGAACGAATGATGAATAAAGGATCTCTTATCTGTATCTTAAAAGCGTTGAAAACATTGTGTATGTCACCGGTTTGTCTAATTTCTAGTAACAACATTTTGTCTATAGATATCTCTTCCGCCCTCAATACCCAGCAGTCGACGTCTCACAATAATTGACTGCAAGGAAACCCACACTAGGCTAATTTGAACCTTGAAGTGCAATGCAAATGAGCTTGTTAGCACCCGGCTTGAGGTCTGAATCGTGCAGGATAGAACAAATTCTTCATCTTAGTGTGGATGTCTGCAGTGATGGTTTGGACATGTACAAAGGAGGGAGGGTGAATATGAGGGAATATAGAAAGTCTTGGATTAGAGCCGTCAGACAAGAAGTCCTTGGGAAGACGAGGGGAGATTTGTAGATGTTGAGAAATAGGGCAAAGATAGGAAGAGAACAGGGTTGAATGAAGAGATAGTATAGCCTTCATTTATAACATCTTTTGTTGTTGAGATACTGTGGTTTCTGCTGCTGTCCAGGGGAGTAAACACAGATGGTGAAGTGTTTTCACTGCAGTGGCTCAGCTCCAAAATATAACTGCATTTCTTTTTACTTGTTTTTTCTCTACAGTATCTACTGAGCAACAAGAATCCCTGACAAGCTTAGATAAGATATTTGTAAATACTCCACAATAGTAGATTGTAATTGGTTTTGGTCCTCTGCTGGTTTGGAGAAAAGTTAAGGGATTTGAATACAGAAAGCCCTTGCTATTCGAGTTTTTTTGCCTCAGTATGTAAAAGATAAAATATGTTTTTATAAGTTAAAGACAGCATGTTGTGGTCTATTTTGTTCAAATACATTTACTTAAACAAGACAAGTTAGTTACTCCCGATATGAAAGAACAATGAAGTTGTAATCAATTCTTGGATGAAATACTTAATAATGTGTTTGAAACTCACCAGGCTTGGGGCTTCCTTTTAAGCAGCCCTTGTCTCCTCCACTGAGAGTGAGGGCTCAGATGGTAAGTCAGCTGACGACACACTTTCTCCATGGCTCCCAGAGAGTCGCCCTCCTGAGGAACGCAAGGACAAGGAGTGAAGAGATGTGAGCTTGGATAAATCTTTCACTCGCCAAGAAAAGATTATTGTCACCTTAGTACAGATTATTGTCACCTTAGATACATGTGGTCTCTACAATTGAAGCATCCTTTCCACACAACTGGGGCAACTGTCTGCTCTGACGCTCCATATCGTGTTCAGGACCTGAGCTGGATAGTTCTACCTATAGTGCATGTTTTGGGATGATAGAAAAAACCACAGCCGGATTCAAAAGTTGCAGACAAGGTGAGATATGTGCAAACTCCGCACCGAAATCCTCAGACCACCATGCCAGTTTTAAAGTACACATCATCGGACGCAGCTTCGCAAACGTCAAGATGACTGGGTTTATGGGTTGTTTCTGATTTGTCGAGCTGATCGGTTTGTCAGATGACCAGACTTATATCCAGAGACCACATCACCCCCATCCTTAAACAACTCCACTGGCTCCCTTCCCCATACCGCATACAATTAAAGGTAATCCTGATTATAAACAAGTCTCTTCAGAACCTGGCACCCTCATATCTCCTCTCCTCACTGTCATAAAAAAAAAAGTTGTATTAAAGGATTTGAATTCATCATGCCTTGGATGTTTTTGTTCTCTATCATACTGAACTGTGTAGATGTGTGTATATCTACAAAATATTACATTATTTTGAGGCCTTACAGTTTTACGTTCCACAAAATAAAATATCAAATGCACAAGGACAATAACTTATAACTGCACTGTGAGGATGTTTTAATAATTCAAATCCTAAAGTAAAAATATGAAAGGTTGAACATTACATTCCAGTGGGCATTCAAACTTTGGCCTACCCACTCTGAAAATTAGTTCATCTTAATACATGTGCCATACGAACCATGTTAACCACTCTGAAGAAAACATATGAAATGGAAAGCGGGTACGGTGTCTTGCCTGATGATGACACACAGACAGAAAGGAACTGGCCAAGGAGAAAGATTCAAACCATAAAAATGCTGGAAGAGGTATTTCATTGAACAAATGACAATAAATTACAAAGCTTCATTTCATGCATATCCTACTTTTAGGTAAAAATGCAGATAATATTGAGTAGATTTGATCAAGAAGAGATTTAACTATATATTGAATTGAATAATATGAATTGCACGGATTTGCAAAAATACAAAGTACGCTCAGCAAAGTACAGACATGTAAATTGTAAGTTGGATTTCCTCTCAATAATTAGAGTGAATTAGAAAGGGCATATCCTCAAAGGTAAAAAAGATTGTGTCAGAAACTAAAGGTGTAACTGAACAAATTATGTTAAGGTTTTATATCTGCAACTAATATTAAAGTAACTTGAACAGAGCTAGATCTGGACCAGATCAAATATGAGCTGTACTCCGTCCTATTTCTCAGGAGAAATACATGAGAAGCTCTCAAAAAGTTCTCTAACAAGGCTGAAGGCTCATACTAGTCTAGGAGAAACACTTGAGTCTGTACTGAGTTCTCGTTTTTGCATTTGCTTTCCTCTGGGTAATTACATATTATATAAGTGTGGATATAAATAAAGTGCTCAAGGCCACGAACAAGATTGATGGGATAAAAATCCATAAAGTATCCTTCTGCAGGGTGAAACCGGGGGATCCCGGCTTTAATGTAGCTGTTTTTTCACATCTTTATCTTTTCAATGTATTTTATTTTACATTACAATGACACTGCTCAAAATGCAATCTGCAGCTTGCATAGAGTCCATTCACCTGTGTTTCCTCTTGAGAACAAGCAAAATAAGACAAGTAAATTAACATATACACAGGATTTGCAGAGCAGTGGAGCAAACAATTACTCCTGACACCTTCTATTAATGTCACAACTCCGATATGACAAACAAGGAGAGACTGAGGGGACTTGGAGGCTTCACGGTGCGTTTGACAGACTGTAATCATGGCTCGTTCGAAAATCCTGTGGCCTCAGTCTAATTTAGTTCTTTTGAGCGACACAGCTGCATTTATGAACCTGTACCCGATGTTTACAGGGGCGCAGAGCCTTGTGCGTTATTCCGTCCATAATGCGGTGATTGGTTCTGCTGATGTGGAAATTGCAGGCCTTTGGCATCGAGTGACGTCAAGTTGCGATGAATAATCCGATGTGATTTTATCTCATTGTTTCTTTATCATGTGGAGAATATGAGAAGGCAGCAGATGACGTTAAGCTGTAGATAATCAGGAATGACTTATAGGCGAATTTGATGGTGGCCACATCATGTAATTGGTATGACACGCAGCTTCACCAATTATTATGAAAAAATAAATTTGCATCACATGAAATTAAATAAAAATAGCGACTTTCAGTAGCAGTCGGGGAATGTGACATTTTCGCCAAATTTAAGGTAAAAACCGCCCTCTCCACTTTTTGAACTAAACTCTCTGGTCTTATTTGACGAGCACGTATCACCAGAATGAATGACAATTGGGAGGACCAATTTTCATTCACCACTTTTGATTAGCTGGGTGTCATAAATAATATACTTTTTGAACCCCTTTTCACAAATCTCCCTGTGCTGCTCATAAACAGTAGAAGGAGTGGACTAACCGTGTTCTGACATCACCCATAGTGTTTGCCAAATGCTGACTAGAACGGCGGCCATATTGACTAAGGGGACTAAATTCATTTTATGGGCATTTGTTATGATGGGAGGACCTAGCTGAGGCAGATGTCAAGGCAAGCTAGAGTTTACCCCGGGGAATTAAGGCATCTGATTGGACAATAATAATGGCTCATATCTGGAAAACTTTATTGATCTCACAATGGAGAACTGTACGTGTCATATTTGGCATAGATAGAATAACTAAGCATGTGTAAAAAGACAGGAAGTGTGCAAACATGTAAAAAGGTTAAAATATAGTCTCTTTTGTGCAAGATACGTTATGTATAATAACATTAAAAGTGACTATAGCAGGGCGTGTTATTCAGTCCTAACAAAGACAAAATTCATTAAAAACACCAGGACTATAGAGAGCGCTAAACCATGGATTGTTAAGCCCAAAATGGTGAGAGTGACACAAACAATTACTGAGCGAGAGGAGTTTCCTTATAAACGTTAATAGGAGTCAATAGGAGCCGGAGCAAGTTGGAGCAAAAATTTGCCCTATGAGCAGTTCCCTATTGGGGCTTCATGGAGCTGGTGTGTTATAATTGTCCGTCTTTATAAAGTCCATGGCGGTACGGTTTGTCTGAGCGTGATGTCAACTCTAAACTCTGCTAATAAATACTAATATTATTTCAGCTGCCAAATAAGAAAAGAACAAAAATGTGGCCCATTCACGAAACAAAAGGTATTCATGTTGTACCTTTAGCTAATGACTCCATGTCTGAACTGTTGATTACTGATATAATTAATGTTTCTCTTATCATGGCAAAAGCAAACTACGACGATTTGTGCTCAGCTGCCCTATTGGTGGCACCACAGCCCACTCATCATTAAAATGCAAGCGTTCAGGTGGAGACTTCGACAGATGGGCTTTTCAACACATAAATATTCAAACATTTACTAAGCAGCGGACAACCCCGGAGAACATTCAAGGGCACGCAACCAAAGCACCAATTTTAAAGCCAACAGGAGTTGAAAGCAACAGATATAACAGCCGCTGGGCAAGACGGCCACAAACCATGTTGCCTCCTGCCAAAATGAGTTTCTGGAGTAAAAGTGATAATGATTTTCGTAGTGAAGCTGTGAAGTTGTTCTTGTAAATGTCCTTTTTCTAATAAGTGGAGGACACATTATTTTCCAATGGGATTCAAACTTGAACTTAAATGAACAATGTCCTTATTTCTGACCTCTTATGTTAGTTTATCGAGACATCATCAGTGATAGCCTGGCCATAGCCATCCGTACACTTCGGTCAATCATCATTTTCCTGCATGTCTGGGTCTGATGCCTGTGTTAGCGATTACAATCGCTTGAATTTCGACCGACCAATCAGAGAGCGCAGAAGGCGGGTGTTGTTTAGATGTCGGTGACATCAAGAGTTCGCGTAGAACGGGCAGGTTGTAGTTTGGCAATGGCGACGAATGCGATGTAAAGTAATACGGTCTGGTTCTATCAAGAAATTGAAGCCGGAGCAAGAGGAATGTTTAGAAAATGTAATTGCTGGCAAAGATTGTGGCGCTAAAAGATGGCAAAAGATTGGCAAAGATTGTGGCTCCGTTAGCGGCAAAGTAGATGGCTAGGCTAAATGCTAACGACTCGGGCGCATTACATACGTCACAGTAAACTCAGATCCAATCGTTTCAATCTGCAAAAGGAGTTAACCTCTCTCACCTGTTAACGGAGCTCAATGGAGCACCTCCAGACCTTAGTACGAAATGTAATTTGTACTATGGTGTGGTACGACCAGGCTACATCAGTGAAGAAGGTTAAAGGGGACATACCGGACAGTAGATCACACTTTAAACCATCAGAATCCTCCGTCATCATCTCATTTCCTGTGTTTGAACTGTTTGATTCTCTGATCTGTGTAGGGGAAATAACAACTGTTGGCTATGGCTATTGAATTGAATTGTTGATGCGGTAAAACAATTATTTGCCATCTACTAGCAGTTTATAGAACTACACACCATTGTAACAATAGAGGACATGAGGAATTTCAGTTTTTTTTTTTTTTTACAATTGACAAATCATATTCAAATCTTTTTTCAACTTTGATTTTGTTGAACTTAAATGGTTTTAAAAAATTAGGTTATTATATGATAGTTTTTAATGTGACCTCTCCATCCCACAAAGCATTATTTTATTGTGCAACTAGCGCCGACTGAAACCCCATAAATGGACTCAACTTTTGCCACAAGTTGAATCAATATTATCACTGGAAAATGTAGATATCATGGAAATCCAGCTGGCAGGAGTTTTTCCTTCCCAGAACACTTAAAACATCTTAAAAAGCTCAGAAAAAGCTTTAGATTGTTTCTCAGCCTGATGGAGATGACGCAAAAGGCACTGCAATATGGGGAAAT